ACCAAAAACTCTCTATGGAGGCAGCAATATACAGCGAGGACCAAGAAAAGGAACCATGAAGAGCCAGAAGGAAATGTGAGCTCCTGGCAGGCAGAGCCAGGCTATGGTTTCAACTCCAGAACTCAGTGGCTGTATGACTTAAACAATCATTGACTCCAAGACTCAAGTGTCCTGAAGATGGGGACACTAATACTAACAAGGTGTTTTGGGTTATTTTATGTTGCTCTAACAGAAAGCTCCACAAATGGGTGGCTCTAACAAACAAGAGTTTATTCTCTTACAGTTTTGGAAGCTAGAAGTCAAGTTCAAAGTGCCAGTCTCTAGGGGCTGGGAGAAAGCCCCTCCACCTTGGGCTTCAGCTCTGCCTCTTGCTCCCAGCCCACTGAAGCTGGAGGTATCTCTTCACTCAGGCAGCTGCTGGCTACTGAGGCTGACAAACCCAAGGTCGACAAGTAATCTACTCGAAGAAGATTCCACCATGGAATTGATTGCCAATCTCATCATGGGGAATAACTACCATCAGCTGCGCAGTCACTCAAAGCCAGGGCCAACCAAGCTGACACCTAACCTTAACTACCACACAAGGATTCATTACATGATGTATTTAACTGTGCTTTAAGGATAGAAAAAAGCAATAAATATTGGGAAGGAACTCTTTATAATAATAGTGATGACAGGCAGTACTAGCCCAACAGTTAATCCTCACAACAAAACGAGACAGGTTTTCATTTTACAGATAAAGAAACAAGGCACAGAGTCTCATGTGTGGAAGGGCAGGACTGGGACTGGAGCCCAGGTAATCTGGCCAACGTGTCTGTGCCCCACTCATCATGCTGGGCTCTGAGAGCAGGCAGACTTTCAAGAACTATCATCACACCATCACAATACAGGTATCAAACCACCCAAACATCAAAGGGCCCACAAGTCCACCGTGGTGCTTCACTGACACCTTTTCTTGGTATTAATGAGCAAGAATTTTGGCAAGAAAAATCCATCAGATGTCAAACATGTTAAGCTACTTCTTATCGTATGTATCTTAGTTATCTGGTGCTATTATAACAGAAATACCAAAATAATTTAACACACAGAAATGTTCCTCACAGTTTGGTGGGACAGAAGTCTCAATTACGGGCACCAGCTCTAAGGGAAGGTTTCTCTCTCTGCTGGCGCTGGGGAAAGTCCCTGTCTCCCATCAACACCTGCAGGTCCAGCGTCCCCAGGAGACCATCCTGGTCCTTGACGTCATCCTCCCCTGGATCTAGGAGTTCTCAGTCCAGGGACACTGGATCCAAAGGATGCACTCAGCTCCCAGCTCTTCTTCCTTAATGGTAGTAGGTCCTTGTGATCTCTGCTCCCTTGTTTAATTTCTTTTATATCTCAAAAGAAGTAACTCAAGATACAACCTAATCCTGTAGATTGTATCCTTCCTCGTTAACATAATTGCCACTAACCCTGCCTTGTTAACATTGTAGAGGTTAGGATTCACAACACACAGGATAATTTCATCAGATCACAAAATGGAGGGTAATGACATCATACTGAGAACCTCAGCCTAGCCACGCTGACATACATTTTGTTGTGGTTAGGTGCCGTCGAGTAGGCTCCACCTCACAGCAACCCTGTGGACAACAGAACAAAACACTGCCAGGTCCTGTGCCAGCCTCACGATCCTTGCTAGACCTGAGCCCATTGCGGCAGGCACCGTGTCACTCCATCATGATGTGTATTTCAGAAGAATACAATTCCATCCATAACAATATGCACGTCTGGGACATTTAAAACTAAAAAATCAGTAGAAACTCTCCAAGCTCAGTTCCCTGAACTGTAAAACAGACGCTAGGTAAGACCTACATGGGTTATTTTGATGCGATTTCAAACATAATTCTTCTGATGTGCTAAGAACGGCTCTTAGTGCACAGTAGCGCTCAGTGAGTGTCAGTGCTAACAATGACGACGCAGCTACAAATGATACAGCATCACTCAGAGTAAGAGCACAGGTTATTCCATGGCATCCACTGTTGGTGGGCATTAGCTTCCTCAACTGAAAAGCACCAGGGATTAGGGTAAACAGTCTCTCAGACCCTGGCCAGCTCTAAAATCCTAGAATTTTATGGAATAAATGATGAAAAAATGTTGAGGCAGAAAAGAGGCCATCTTTCCTTCTCCTCAACCCTCCACACAGCCCAGAAGGACAGAAGGAGCTCACCAAGTATCTACCAACTGACTACGCAGAGGACCACCGTACAGCCACGTCAAGAATTGTACTCTGACCAGCTTAGCCCCTGGTCGCTTGTCAGAAAAACTCCAGGCTGAGAACCAGGAGATCTATTTTAAAGCCGACTCTGCAGCCTCCTCGTAGGAGCTCTGGTAGCATAGTGCCTAAGGCACTTGACTGCTAACCAGAAGGCTGGCGGTTCAAACCCACCAGCCACTCCTCGGAAGGAAGGTTGGGCAATCCTACTTCCGTAGTGATACTGCCTCGGAAACCCAAGGAGGGGTCGCTATGAGTCGGGGCCGACTCGACGGCAAATAACAACAACAACAACTGCAGCCTCCTCAAGGCTCTGGCCTTAAAGAAGCTGCTTTAGATCTGTGGGCCTTAGCCTCTCAAACTTTAAAAATAAGGGAGCTGTGTTCTCGATTCCTGTTGTCACATATTTTACACCAACAAGAGAAGGAAAAGAGAGTTATACCATAGGCATCTTCTCACCACCACACAGCAAACACTTACGGACTATCTCCTACTGATTCAGTAAATCCTTCTACATCTGAGATGTATCTTTGAGAAAATGGGTAAGAACTTCTTCTAAAGATGACAAATTGCAATGGAAAGCTATTAGTCCACCCAAAAAGGATAAGTATAGGCCACAAGGTACCTTCTATTAAAAATAAAGCTTAAAAAAAAAAAAAAAAAAGAGAGCCCCTTCACAATGGGAAAGAAAGGCTCTTTACCACTTAGGAATCCCTCCTTGGGTAAGATTCCACTCAAGCAAATATCTACAATCAAATCCATTTCTCTTGCCTCCTTCCTTCCTAAGGAAGGAGTTTGATAAAGACACAGAGTGAACAAGCCAACTCACAACCACAAGAGGTGAAAAGAGTAAAGAAATTCAGGGTTAGAGGATGAAAGCAAGAACAGTGGATGAGGAAAGAGGGCTGGGAGAGTGAACCTGGTGTCAACAGGGAGGACACAGAAAAACCCACTGCCACAAGCCAATTCCAACTCGTAGCGACCCTACAGGACAGAGCAGAACTGACCCACAGGGTTTCTAGGGGTATAATCTTCATGAAAGCAGATTGCCTCATCTTACTCCCCCAGAGCAGCTGGCGGGTTCAAACCACCAACCTTTTGGTTCACAGCTTAGAGCTTTAAGCACTGTGCCACCAAGACTCTAGGACAGCACATAGTGGGGAAATTTCTCAGGTGAGATAATAAAAACAAAAAATCCTTATCTTGTGATATAACAGAAGGATGAATTTTAGGATGCTATAGGATTTCCTTTAGGGCAAGTGGTCTGCTAAAATTAACAGGGCTTCCATGCCATGATGTCAGTACCAGGAAGCAGCGCTCCATGTGGTTTCACTTGCCTATAGGAAGGAAAGAAGCTCTGGTAGCATAGTGCCTAAGGCACTTGACTGCTAACCAGAAGGCTGGCGGTTCAAACCCACCAGCCACTCCTCAGAAGGAAGGTTGGGCAATCT